TTTTCACAGCTCCTGACCTTCAGGCCTCCTTTACATGGAGGATTCAGTGCAAATGCAGGGAAGAACACTTGCTTAAGAAAAGCTTCTCTAGCCCAATGCCACTAGTGGCTCAACCCCTGTAAATCCTAGCTACTCAAAAGACTGAGTTCAGAAGTTCTGGGTCAAAGCCAGCTCAGGGGAGGAAAGTTAGTGAGACTCTTCTTGCCGATGGACTACAAAAATCCAGAAATGGTGCTGTGACTCAAGTGGTAGAGTGCCAGCCTTGATGCAAAAATTAAAGAGACCAGAGCCCAGACCCTAAGTTCAAGCCCCAGTACTGGCACATAAAAAATAAAGAAAAGCTTTCAGGAGTTCCTAGTCAACTGTGGTGAAAGTCCAAATCAATTGGGTGCTGCTGGCTCATGCTTATCCTCCTAGCTCCTCAGGAGGCTGAGATCTGAGGATCATGGTTCAAAGCCAGCCTGGGCAGGAAAGTCCGGGAGACTCTAATCTCCAATGAACCACAGGAAAACTGGAAGTGGTACTGTGGCTCAAGTGGTAAGCTGAAGAGCTGAAGGGACAGTGCCCAGGCCCAGAGTTCAAGGCCCGCGTGACCTGCTTGAACCTCACTCTGTGGCTCTAGGCAGAGTAATTTCCAGTGCATCGCTAAGGCTCTCCCAATATCTAGGTGTCCTACAAGTCTTGAAAGCAGCCTCTTTGGGAGCCTTTGCCTACAGAGTGGGCCAAAGTAGCAGAGAAGGGTCTACCCTTGGGGAACGGAAATCATTGGCCAGGTCATCAAAATGGCATCTGTCATGGATGCAGTGTGGATCTGAGCAATAAGTCAATATTTCAGACCAGGTTTCTGGGTCAGGAGGGGCAAGAGCTGCAAGATGACACAGCATGTAATGCCTACTCACGGGGGCAAATTTGTCAGGCACACCTTGGGTGGGTGTTGAGTTGGGCTCATGAAAGACTTGTAGGTCCAGGAATCCACAGCTGACTGGCTGCTGCTTGTAGTAGTGGCTATCCCAGAAGTCGCAGGGCTCAGAGCCCTGCTTTGCTCACCAGTGTTAAGTGGCAGATGAAGGTCTGCAATCATGCACTGACTATAAACCAGCATCTATCTTGTTCTTCCCTTGGTCCTGTACCCTATGCATAGATGGAGGTGCAGGTTCCATGGGACTTACTGCCATGGCCAGGACCCCTCAGCCCAAGAAGCAGTTGGGGAGAAATAACTTATGTGTCAAGAGTTTACTATGACTGTGCCTCTGGACTGCCCCCAGTTCTAGCTCAGCTCATCATTACCACCTTCCTCTGTGTGTGTGTGTGTGTGTGTGTGTCCATGGGCACATCTTGGTACTAGGGCTTGAACTCAGGACTCGAGCTCAGGACTCGAGCTCTGTCCCTCCCTTTTTTCATTCAAGGCTAGCAACTCTACCACTTGAGCCACAGCTTTTCTTCCAGCTTTCAGGTGGTTATTGGGAAAGGAGAGTCTCACACACTTTAGAAAAGTGAGCTGATGATAAGAAATGTACTCATTATCTTGCCCATGTAATTGTAACCCCTCTGTACAGAATTTTCACACAGAATAAAAAATCCTACTGATACTAAAAAAAAAGAAAAAGAAAAGAAAAGTGATCTAGGCTGCCTCTGAATGCAAATCCTTAGATCTCAGCCTTCTGAGGAGCTAGGAATATGAGAGCATGAGCTATTAACATCTGGCCACCCTTTCCTTCTTGGCTAAGACAGTGTACCTCTCTCCCAGCCTAGCACCCATCTACAGCTAACCTTCCTCCCCCTCTCCCTACTCCTCCAGGCTTCAGAGGACATAGCCTCCCCTGAGGACATAGAAATAGGATGCTTGACAGGTTTGAGCTTTATGTTCTCCACACAGTCAAGGGCTGCTGGGAGCTGATGTGGAGTTCACAGATCTAGGCCAGGGCAAGTACACAGCCGTTAGAACAGAAGACAGTATGAAGAGACATCCTTGAAGCTGGATGCCAGTGGCTCATGCCTATAATCCTAGCTACTCAAGGCTGACACATGAGGATCAATCAAGATTCAAACTAGCCTGGGTGGGCAGACTCTTATCTCCAATGAATCACCAAAATGCTGGGAAGCAGAGCTACTGTAGTTCAAGTGGTAGAGCACGAGCCTTGTGCAAACAAGTTAACACCTAGGCTCTGAGTACAAGCCCTGGTAAACACACACACACACACACACACACACACACACACACACTAACATCCTTAGCAGGTGCCAGTGGCTCATACCAGCAATCCTAGCTACTCAAGAGGCTGAGCTCTTAAGATGGCAGCTTGAAGCCAGCCCAGGCAGGAAAGTTCGTGAGACTCTTATCTCCACTAAACTACTAAAAAAGATGAAAGGTGAGCTGTGGTTCAAGTGGTAGAGTGTTAGATTTGAGCAAAGGAAGCTCAGTGCCTAGTCCCTGAGTTCCAGCTCTAAGAGTTGTTTTTAAAGATACCTTTTGCCCCCCCATCCCTCCTCAGTCCATAAATCCAGATGTTGATGATCCTAGATCTCACTTCCACTCCTGCCACTTCCACAGCACCACCACAAGTGGCCTGTTTCTGGCCAGCTCTGGGTTAAGAAGTGAACGTACACAAGAAGAGGATACCCAGGTCAAGGCTAATGCCCCAGAACATTGAAGTATTGGCCATACCATTCTCCTCCCGCAATTCCATGGCTCTGGAATCTAAAGTCTGTGCCTCTGTATTCTGGGCATCCAGAATTCTCTAGAAGGATTTGAGAGGCCCAGCTGGGGCTGGAAAGTAGACTTGCCTGAGATAAAGTATGTTGACATTTCCTAGACACCAACAGACACTTCCAAGCTGCCTTGGCGTCACCTCCAAAGTAGCCTGGAATCCTCCTTGCTTGGGCGGCCTTCAGTCTGCTATCAAGCTGGATTTGGCGAGAGTCATCGGCAACCCCCTTCCCCCACTCACTGCCAGCCTGCTGAGAGGGACATGCAGCCAGAGGTCTAGCTGAGGAAAAGGGCAGGACATCCCATGTCTGAGTACCCCACCCAGAGACAGGCAAGACTTTATTGCAGCTGGCCCGGCTGACCCAGAATCCCCTGCAGGCGGCCAAAGATTTGGACAGCTGGACTTGGGCCCCAAAGAAAAGCTTGAACTCGGGTCTCTGGTAATTTAGGACTCATTATAGACCAAGATAGGAGGCTAAAGGCAGGGTCGGTGTGGAGGAGGGGCACCATCCGAGGTCAGAAAGAGGCAGACAGGCCCCAGGAAGGGGACAGAGAGATGAGAAAAACACACACACACACATATGGCACTGGTGTCTCACACCTGTCATCCTCGCTACTCAGGAGACTGAGGTCAAAGCCAGCCAGCACAGAAATGTCTGTGAGGCTCTTATCTCAAATGAACCACCAAATAGCCAGTAATGGAGCTGCAGCTCAAGTGTTAGAGATCTAGCTTTGAGCACAGAAGCATAGGAACTTCACCTAGACCCTGAGTTCAAGGCCCAGGTCTTCTACATCCAAACACACAGACACAGATACACACAGACAACAGACACACAAACACACAGACACATACAGTGGTAGCCCAAAGCCTCAGCAGTCCCTGAGCACCCTGAATATTCCACCCCAGATATGAGGGCACTACCATCATCAGAGCCAATGTAGACAAAACTCAGAGCCTCTCACATGTGTGCAATGGTTCACAACACATCATGGCATTTCTACTGTACACACTGTTATGCAGAAAATTCAACTACCTTTTGTTTGGTTGTAGGTTATGGGGTTTGAACTTTGGGCCAGCCAGCAGGCCCTCAGCTCTTCAGATGAAAGTGTGCGCTCCACTACTGGAGCTACAGTACCACATCCAATTTTCTGGTGGTTCATTGGAGATAAAGTCTCACAGACTTTCCTGCCCAAGCTGGCTTTGAACCATGATCCTCAGATCTCAGCCTCCTGAGGACCTAGGATGACAGTTATGAGCCACTGGCAGCGCCGGCTTCACCCATCTTTTTTTTCTTCAGCTCTTTTCTTTCTTTCTTTTTTATTGTGAAAATACTGTACAGAAGGGTTACAATTACATGGACAAGATAAGGAGTACATTTCTTATCAAGCATTGTAGCCTTCTCTGCAGCCACTTCTTATACCAAGGGAAAACCCAACTCATCAAAACACAAAACACATATAACCCTGCACTTCAGACTTGGTCACCAGCATCCAAAACCATTTTTCCATGGATGGAGAGCATATAATTGACACTACCATCCCACCCCTGGTCCCATTCACCCACTCCCTGCCTACCACAGGCCACAACCTCTGGAGTTCTTGGTAAGACACCACCCACCCTGCTATGGCTTCACACTGGGGCAAACCTGGGGACTTATTAGAAATGTCTGTACAGTAAGGCCAGCATCTGGTCTCACAACCACAGCAACCCTACTGCTTCACTATCTCTTGCAAGCAAGGAAGGGGTGTCTTTCTTTCTTGTTAAGATATTTGTTTTGGTTTTGGTTTTGTTTTTTTCGTTGAGGGACTTGAACTCAGGGCTTGGGTACTGTCCCTGATGTCTAATTTTCCTCAAGGCCAGTGGTCTACCACTTGAGCCACAGTGCCACTTCCGGTTGGAGATTGGAGATGAGGCTCTGAAGGGAATTTCCTGCCTAGGCTGGGAAATGAGATCCTCTGGATCTCAGCTTCCTGAGTGGCCAGGATGACAGGTGTGGGATGACAGGCATAAGCCAGCGGCTCATGGCTTAAGGTGTTTAGTCTTTCAGAATTTCCACCTAGTCCTTCTCTAGACACTACCACCTAGACACCCCTCTACCTCCCTCAGGGACAGCAAAGGGATGCTAGAATTTGGGTGGAGCCATGGGGATTAAAGGGACCCCTCCACATCACTAACCCCCTCTAATCTCCCATCTGCCTCCTCCAGATTTCCTGGTCTTCCTGGGCAGATCAGACCCACAAGGAGTTCTGGGGCCTGCCCTATGTCCCCCTGTCCTAACCGACACCTGAGGACTTCAGGGGCCAGCTTCTCCATGCCCTGGTGGAAGACATTGGGAGGGTTGCTGATAAGCGGGCCCAGGGGTGCCCAGGGCAGAAGGACTGCCCAGCTCCCCTCTGTCAGAGGAGACACAAAGCATAGATGGATCTACTAAGAGCTTCAGGGCATAGCCATCCACCTGTCACAAAGGTCACTGGGAGCAATGGGAGAACTGTTTTATGGTGACAGCCCTGGGGCCTGACCTCATGGCCCGGCACTGTCCCTGACTTGTTTTGTCTCCAGTGGAGTGCTCTTTCACCTGAGCCACCATGCCACTTCCAGATTTTTCTGTGTATGCAGGACCTAGGAATCGAACCCATGCTTTCCTATGTGCTAGGCGAGCCCTCCACCTCTAAGACAAAACCCCAGCCCTAGATAGCTGTTCTTCTGTGACCCTTCAGGCCTGTCTTGGGACAGTCTCACACATGTATACCAAGTCTCTCACCAGCAGCCCTGGCTGGAAATGAACACGCTCTGCTATGTTGCCCATCATCTGCAGCACCTTTGCTCTCTGTGCTTCCTTCAGATCCTCCTTGTTAAGCAATACCCCTTTTCAAGTGCTGTGTCCAAGAAGCCTTTTCTGATCACCTTGGCAAAGGTGGAGCCTCTCCGCTGTGAAGGCTGCCAGACTTTTCAGGCTCTGCCCTCCAGCCAGTGTGGGTTGAGAATGCACGAAGGGGAAGGCCTGGATTCTACCACCGGATTTGTCAAGGCCCTGATACACCACCCAGGGGCAGGTGTTGTATCACACTCCGTGAGAGGTGGCTCGTGGCCTGGGCAATCTGTGGGCAAAAAGACAGAGCCATTTCTTTGTGTGGGCTTGAACTGGGGATCTGGGAGCTGTCTTTCTGAGTTTTATTGTTCAAGGCTGGTGCTCTACCACTTGAGCCACAGCTCTACTTCTGGCTTTTTGGTGGTTCCATGGAGAGTAGAGTCTCATGGGCTTTCCAGCTTATGGCTGGCTTCAAACTATGATCCTCAGATCTCAGCCTCCTGAGTAGCCAGGATGACAGGCATGAGACAGAACCCCAGGTGATGGGCACCAAAGGCTTTTGGATTTTTTTGCTCCCATTTATCTCCTGTCAACTAGCAAGCCCAAGTTAAAATAGTCATTACAGGGTATCAAATTCCTCTCCTAGGTCAGTTAATCCAAGGAGATAAAGTGTCTTTGGAAAAGGCTAGTCTGAGTTGGATTAGGGGTGTTTGTGTGTGTGTGTGTGTATGTGTGTGAGTGTTGGGGATACCTACCCTCATCTCTGTGGTGCCTTATCCTCCCAGCAGGGAGAGCATCCAGGATCCTGACCCCAAGGGAGGTGGATGGGGGAGGGTACCTAAGGTCACATCCAGGGGGATGATCTGAATTCTGTCCTGCAACCTAAGTCTGGACAGATAAAGGAGAGAAGGAGAGGGTTAGGGAAACATGAAAGGGAGCTCTTACCTTTGGCTACATGTACCAGCGAGAAACTGAATACATCTTTCTTGGAAGTCAGATAAAAGTTGTACACTGTTCATTTATTTCATGATTGTGTTAGTCCTACGGCTTGGATTCAGGGCCTGGGTGTTATCCCTTAGCTTCTTTTGTTCAAGGCTGAGGCTCTACCACTTGAGCCTCAGCACCATGTCTGGCTTTTTGTGTGTGGTTTTGGGGAGGGAGGTGGTTTATGGGAGATAATATTCTCACGGACTTTCCTGCCTGGGTTACTCTGAGTCACAACCATCAGACCTCAGCCTCCCAAAGAGCCAGGATGATGGGTGGGAGCCATGAGCTCCTGACCACCACCATCTATTTATAATCCCTTAGGCCCAGGGCCAGGCCACCCCCAATATACCTCCTTGCTGGGAGTAGGAAGTAGACATGAGTGGGTTTGATACTTCAACAGCCTACCGATCTTTGAGCATTGTTCTGGGTCAGTCTGATGGAGGCTTATTCCTTATCCACAGCAATGACTTGGCTCTGTCATGAGAACAAATGTCCATCGGGAAGAATCAGGTCTGGGGTCTTTCCTCTGAACCCCGCTACCCTAACCAAAACGACACTCCCCAGCAAAGGGTAGTACACACAGAGTGTTTTTATTGTCTTATAGCCAGGGTCTTGTCAGATAGGTGGTGGTATAGGTCAGAGGCCCTGGATTGTGCTGGGCAGGGCGACAAGGTGACACCTTCTCATCCATTTTCCTTCAAGGGTGTAGAAGAGGGATGTAGGGAAGGACTAATGGGATGGACAATGAATAACCGTCAAGGTCTAGCCAGGGCACAGAGGGGCTTACCTCATGAAGCTGCTTCAACAGGCTGAGCAAAACAGCTCCTGACCCACAGCCCACCTCCAGAATGAGAGGGCCACCTTGGGTTCCAGACACATGGGGATGCTGGGCCACCTCCTCCAACACTCATTCTACCAATTCCTGAGAGACACACACACAGAGAGAGACAGAGACAGAGGGCCAGAATTACACTTAAGCCAGATGCCGATGGCTCAGACCTATAATCCTACCTACACAGGAGGCTGAGATGTGAAGATCTTGGTTCATAGATGGCTCAGGAGGAATGTCTGTGAGACTCTTATCCTCAAAGAACCAACAGAAAACCGGAAATGATGCTGTGGCTCATGTGGTAGAGTGCTAGCCTTGATCTGATGAGCTCAGGGACAGCATCCAGATCCAGAGTTCAAGCCCCACAAATGACAAGAAGTGGACTTTTCACCACAAGAAGTGGACTGAATAACACCCACTGTCATAGGAAACATGGCAGAGAAATCAGACCAAGATTCCTGTCAGCTGGGGATCATGAGTAGGTCACCTGGCTGGAAAAATGAATAGAGTGAAGGATCCCTTCCTCATGAGCATAGGGTAATGATGAAAGACAGCCACGTTTTGTTTCATGATCCCACACCTGTTGCATGGTTAGTAACAGACCCCATCTGAGCCCTTTCCCGGCAACTTCCTGTCATATGCTCACAGAATTGTTGAGAACTGTATCTGACACCTGCTCCCTCTGTTCCTGGCCCTGCTCCAGAGATCCCTCTGTATTAGTCCTTTATTTACTCACAACTGTCCCATGAGGAGACTGAGGTCCGATGGTCGACATCCAACCCAGACTTCACCTGTGGTCAAGAATCGGCTGCCGTGAACTAAGAGTTTGGGTCAATCCATCTAATACAATGACTGAGCTGGGCGATAAATGTCTACCAGCCCCCACACCTCCCACACACCTACACACAAACACATCTCCACCATCCTTTGCAGGCAAAGATGTTTTACTTTCTTTCTTTTTGTTTGTTGTGGGGCTTGAACTCTGGGCCTGGGTTCTATCCCTGAGCTCTTCAGCCCAAGTCCAGCACAGTATTCTTGAGCCACAGCACCACTTCCGGTTTTCTGGTGGTTTATTGGAGAGAAGAGTCTGAGGGTCTTTCCTGCCCAAGCTGGCTTTCACCCGTGATCCTAAGATTCAGCTCCTGATTACTTAGGATGACATCCATGAGCCACTGGCACCCGGCCAAAAATGCTTTTCTATGCCTGTCATCCTATCCCCTCAGGAGACTGAGATCTGAGGACTGCAGTTGAATGCTACCCTCTTATCTCCAATTAAAACCCTAAAACCTTGCAAGTGGAGCTGTGGCTCAAACGGTAGAGTGCTAGCTTTGAGCATAAAACAAGGGATGGGACCAAGGCCCTAGTTTTAAACTTTTTCTAGCATAAATCCACCCAAGAATGGGAAGCAGGTGAGCACACGGGAGCTCAAAGCTCACACATAATACTCAAGATTCACAGAATAGACTACATCCTGCTCTGAGGATCTAGATTCTATGTCCTAGGTCATGGCAGGCTGAGATGGGACTGACCATGCACCAACTCAGGACATACAAGTACAATCTCATACTGAGGATCCCGTGACCTCATCAAGGAGTCAAGATCTCTCACTGTCCTGCCTTGACACTGGGCAGTCAGGTGAGATCCAGTTATACAACCAAAGGATATTGGAATGAATTAATTTCTCAGCCAAGGGATGCAGACTGGAGGGCTCTAGGTCCCTTTATCTCAGGAGGAGAAAAGGGCTGATCCATCTCAGGAATGATCCTGGGTTGTGAGTATCCTCAAAGAAACAACCCAGCTCAGAGCCCAGTGCCTCTGGTGTTCCCACCAGCCTCGACCTTCAGTCCGCCCTCTCTAAATCCCACATCTGCCATCTAGACTAAAGGCTGAGCCAGCAAGGAGACCCACTTCTACCTCTGAGAATGGCAGTCATGGGGCCCTAGAGTCCCCTAGAGGAAGTCTCAGAGCAACATGTGTCTGACTCTTGCCCTCATTCCCTGGCTGTCCTGTGCCAGTGGCCTGGTTTCCTCTGTCTCTGGTTGAGGAATGAACACTGGGGTTGTCATCTTCAGATTGAGCCAGCAAAAGTCCCAGTCCCCAAGGATGTACTGCACAGGCATCCTGCAGTGGTCGACAGCGAGGTTGTCAACAGTGAACCCAGAGTGTCAGGACTTTTAATAGGCATGTGGCTGGGTTGAAGGCTCTATCACTGATGGTCTAGGTTGTCAGGTGAGGTTGTGGCTTCAATGGCCTGACACACCTGATCTGGGATCATCCTCCCTCTTCATCTACCTTGTTAACTCTTGCCAACCCCCTCTGGACACTCCCTCTCCCTATCTTCCCTAGCCTTTGGACACTTTCTTCTTATCTCACCAGAAAATAAACTCGGTGAGCTAGGGGAGATTGTAACTGGGTGACACACCCTGAGCCCTAGGGTCTACCCCAGGCTGTTTCCCTCTGCAGTAAGCAAACCACTCAGATCCTGGATGTCGTGAAGTTGCCGAGGGGACAGTGGCTTGGTCCTACATACTGGCTTTAGGCTCTGAAACTGTCCCCACAGAGATTGTGAATGGTTGGCTCCCTTGATCCAGGAACTCCAAACCAAGGCCTGCATGATACCTTCTTCCTTCCTTTCCTTCTTTTCTCCCTCCATCCTTCCCTCCTCTCTTTCTCTGTCCTCTCTTTGTGTCACTCCTGGGCCTTAAAATCAGAGACTGGGTGCTATCCCTGAGCCTTTTTACTCAAGGCCAACAGTCTATGGCTTGAGCCACTCATCCACTTCTGGCATTTTCTTTTTGGTAGTTAGTTGGAGTCTCATAGGCTTTCCTGCATGGGCCTTAATCCTCAATCCTCCCATCTCAGCCTCCTAAGTAGCTAGGATGACAGGAGTGAAGCAATGGTATCCAACTCAAACCAAGATTTCTTCATGTGCTGTGGAACCAGAACTGGAACCTTTCATCGTGTATGACCCGCCCCCCACCCCCCCTCCCCGGGCTTGGCACACACTGTAATGGTTTGTTGGATAAATAAATGAGCATCTGTCTATGACAATACTACAGAAAAGTCCCATCTAATTCAGGTAAGCATCCTGGGTGGGGGCAAAGCCTGATGTAGCTCTCCAACAGTTCTCCCTCCTCCTCTTCCCACTCTCCTGGTGCTACCACACTTAACTGTTTTGGTTCCAAGGACTTGAGCCATGATGTACTCACTGGACTCCAGGGCCTCTGGGATGTCTATCTTCTCAAAGATCTCTGTCCAGCCACTGAACCAGTTCTGTGGCACTCCATTCCCCAGGTGTGAACAAGGTTGCTGTGAGGTGAATGCCAGGCTCAAGGGGCCTCCTCTCCACTCACTGGGGCAGACAGAATGGTCCACTATCTCTGGCCCCCAAGTTTCATGTTGCAAAGAAAGGATCTTTGAGGCATCCCAGGTCTCTGAATCTCCCAGATTCCAGTTCAGGTGCTGGGAATTGTCTCTGCTCACAGCTGACAGGCTGCCGATGGTGAGGTCACAATCTCTGCTCCCCAAGACATCCTCAACTGTGGTGGTCAGCCTAGAGAGAGCCGGAGGAGAATCAGCAGCTGCCAGAGAAAGGCAGTCAAGGCACGACGTTCATAGCAGGAAACCATCTGGCTTGGGAACTCTGCCTATGCCGCTTTGAAAGTCATTGTTTGAGCCAGGCGCTGGTGGCTCACGCCTGTAATCCTAGCTACTCAGGAGGCTGAGATCTGAGGATCACGGTTCAAAGCCAGCCTGGGCAGGAGAGACTGTGAGACTCCTATCTCCAATAAACCACCAAAAAATCGGAAGTGGCGCTGTAGCTCAAGTGGTAGAGCACTCGCCTTGAGCTGAAGAGCTGAGGGACAGCGCCCAGGCCCAGAGTTCAAGCCCCATGACCGACAAAAAAAAAGTCATCGTTTGGTGGCTGAAATGGTCCATCTAATTTGACCCAGAGTCCCAGGCGTTAGTAGAAATGCCAGCGTCAAGAAAAAACCCTGGAAAAGCTGGCATTTCATTTGTCCCAATTAAACTTAATGGGTTCCAAAATCAGTAGTTCCCTTTTCCTTCCAGACAGCCTACAACAGGTTACAGAAAATGGCATTCAGAGAGCCCTAGCTAACTGCCATGTCCTGATCCCAAGCAGGCTCCAGCAGGGGGAACACACTTGCCTACCATTGCCCAGCTGGAAACAGCCCAGGAGGGACACAGATTGGAGTCTGTAGGACTCCAGGGAGGACTACCCACCAGTGCACTGCCCTGGGAGGAAATCCATGGCAACATTGCGGGCCCGGAGGCCCCTGCTAAGATGCCCACGGACACCATCAATGCCCTCTGTAAGATTCTCCTCTCATCCTCAGTCGTGATGAACCATCTTCCATGTCACACCGTTCATCAATTCCCAGACCCTCCTAGCTTCATAGCCCCTGCCCTACACTCCCTATCTCGTTCTCTAATTATGTTTAGCAGACACATTCCCAACTTTGAATTAGCTCCAACTATACACACCAGAGCAGACTGTCTGGCTGGAAGAATGCAGCTGTGTTCACAGTAGCCTCATGAGCCTTCTGGCTAAAGGCAGAAGGGCAGGTGTCCACTCTGGTCTGTGGTTCACACAGGCCTCCTAGGAGAGACCCACACAGGCCCAGCAGTTACTGTGGGCTGCAGGAAAGGGGAAGAAAGTGGTGGGAAGGAACATCTAATGAAACCTTCTCCTAAGGAGCTTTGACACTGTGAAAGAGAAAACAAAAATTGTGGCTGGGCTCATACTGGGCATTAATGAAAAAAACAACAACAAATACACACATGCACACAAATAAAATGCTTTTGCTGGGGCTAGGAAGTTGGCTCAGTGGTAGAGTGCTTTCCTTTCATGCACGAGGCCCTGGGTTCCATTCCTCAGCACCATGTATGCAAAAAGAAAAAAGTCGGAAGTGGCTCTGTGGCTCAAGTGGTAGAGTGCTAGCCTTGAGCTGAAGAGCTGAGGGACAGCACACAGGCCCAGAGTTCAGACCCCACAACCGGATCCCCCCCCAAAAAAAATGCTTGTTCTCTTTTTAGACATGCTGACTGTACAATGAGAAAGATGGTCTCTCTCTCTCTTTTTCTCTCTCATACACACCTAAACACACAGATTCAGAGCAGTGTCTCTCCTGAGTTTGTTGGTTTCTCATCTAGGCAATGTACCAGCTCAAGCACAGGGGTTCCCTTGTCAGAACCAGGGGCAACCACCCAAGGGGAACAATGCTCTAATAATGCAGAACCACCTTGACTCTCCCTATCTCCAGGGCCAGACCCTTCCCCTTGGGAACAACCAGCCTTGACTCCCCATTCACCAAAACCCTAGGCCAGGACGCTGGGTGAAGAGGTCCCAAGACATGTGGCTCCTCAGAGCCTGGACAGAAAACAAAGCAGGGGGTCATGGTGCCTCCAGAGAGGTGTCTGACCTAGGGTGGGGGCATTGTTGGAGACTTTGATGAGGTCCTAAAGGCTATATACATTGATGGACTCCTTACTTCCAGCCTACATACTTCTGGGTGACTTGGCAGATTCTTGGGGAAGACAAGGAGACCAGATGGACTGGGAGCACTAGCAGAAGCTGGCAGAACTGGGAAATGTGATCACCCAGTCAGAACTGTTGACAGCTGGGGTTGGGGGTACAGGCCGGTTGTATGTGTGTCAGAGGGAGTGTGTTTTTCTCCCAAATAGCCACCTTCTATGTGACCCCAGTGCCCTCACCTCTCTAGTGGGCTCTTCTGGGAATGTCCTCAGGTGAAAGTGTGACTGAGCACAGAAGACAAGGGCTCACACAGCAAGGGGGGGCCTATCTTCTGTATCCAATACCCCCCTCCCCAGCAAAAAGGCAAAGACCTAAGAAGGCAGGCGTTGGGTGCTGCTCCCCACCTCTGACTAAAGGCACCAGGTTCCCACCAGGGAGAGGAAGGGTGCAGATGCAAGGCTGTGTGGCTGTCATTGCTCCAGGCTAGGGGCTCTGTGATGCCCCCTCCTCACCCATCCCTGAAGCTCCCCTTTTCCTGGGACACTAACCGCTAGGGATGAGGGTGGGATCCTTGGGTGGACACCCACCTCCATCCCCCACCCCTGGGGTGCATTTTTGGCAGAGCCAGGGCAGACTGTGGCACATGGGGGAGGTGCAGTAGTGATGGGAAAGGGGAAGCAAGAGGCGGGGTTCTGGCTAGGCGGGGGTGGGGGGTTGGGTAGAGTGGGGAGGTCGCAGGGAGTGGGGTCATGGGGTGCTGGCCTGCAGGGCTGCCACTCACCTGTGTTGCTGGAAGAAGCTGTAGGCTGTGATCGGGTGCGCACCCAGCATCTGAGGACCCGGGACCGGGACCAGTTCAGGGCCACAAGCAGGCCAGGGGCGCACCATCTCCGCCAGGTGACTGCAAGAGGCTCTGCGGTTCAGAGCAGGCAGTGCCATGTTTGAAAAGCAGCGCTGCTGAGAGGGGGTAGGGGCTTCTGCGGGCACATAGCGGGCTGCAAGCAGCCTCTGCTCCTTCTTCTTAGCCACCGCCACCTCAGCGGCCTCCTCCCCTGTGTCAGCAGCCGCTGCTGCCTCTACCTCATCAGACATAGCTGCCTCCCCGCCGCAAAAGATTGCATAGTCATGCCAGACCACATGCAGGTGGCCAGTGAGGTTACACTTTGTCACATACTGGCTGTTTTGGTTTTAAACTTTTGTTTTAAATGACTCATGAATTCAATGGTAAAGCAGAGCTTAAGATAAACATACACAAAGGAGTTTAGTGGAGTTTAACATAAGCATGTGAAAAAGGTGGAGTTTATAGTAAACATTGGATGTTGCCAGCATGCCAGCATAAGCCGGATTACTGGCTACCTGTTTAGTTGGTCAGTCTGTAACAGAACAATGAAGGTGGGTTAAGTTGTTAAGGAGAGGGGGACCTAGAGGCATTCTTTTCATTCCAAGAACTGGGCAGGTTGGAGCCAAGGTTTTTTTTGTTTTTTGTTTTTTCTAAAATCCCTAAAACAAAAACAAAACCTGTAAAGAAGCTGTCCCAGCTGAGTCTCCTCTCAGGGCCTACTTCACTTGTGTTCCTGCTCACTCTTCTCTCTGCTCTCTCTCAGCCCCACACTCCTCTCCTGGGCCTTGTTGCCCTGATGCATACATACCCCTGCTCCCTTGGGCCCCTGGCCATTGCTGCCAACAAAGTGTGCCCCTGGGCCCCGCCCCCTCCTCCCCTGGGCCCCGCGCCTCACCGCTGGCCACAATTGCAGCCCTGACTAGGTCCTAAGGCTTCCAGACCATGGCAATTGCAGCCTTAGCTCAGCTCGGCACTCTCCCCCAGCCCCCAGTACCTGCCCTGGGGATGGAATCTCCCTCAGCCCCACCACTGGAGAAGACTCTCCTCAATTCCACTTCATTCCACACACCAAGCAGGTGCATGGTGACACTCGTGTGTATGTGTGTGTGTGTTTGTGTCTGTGTGATTGTTGGGGATAACTACCTCTCACGAACTCAGAATATTGCACCCTTTTGGGATGACTCAGCACACAGCCCACTTCCAAAAATAGCACAAAGCACTCTGTGTAAAGGACTTAGCACACAGCTCCCTTTGAAGAACTCAGCATGTAGTATGTTGGGTAGAGTACTCAGCACACAACACCCTTTGAAGGAGGGAGTCCATAACCCGCAGTGTAAAGGACTCAGTGCATGGCATGCTTTGAAAAACTCAGCACATAGCACTTTTTCCCAGGGATTCATCACATAGAACCTTATAAGACTCCACACAGCACCCTTTGAAGGCTGAGTATGAAGCACCCTGTGTAAAACACCCAGTACACAGCACCCTTTGAAAAACTCAACACATAGAACAATTTGGAAGGACTCAGCACATACCACACTGTGGAAGCACTCAGCACACAGCACCATTTGAAGGACAGTACAGAGCACCCTGGGTAAAGGACTCAGCACACAGCACTCAAAAAACTCACCTCATCCCTCTCTTTGCAAGGGCTCAGCACATAGCAGGACCCTTTGGGACGCAGTAGCTCACCACACCTTTTGAAGGACTCAGCATACAGTACATTGTGTAATGGACTCAGCACACAGCCCCCTTTGAAAAACCCAGGACGGTCCACGTTTGTCAGGGACTCAGCACATACTATCCTTTGCGATGACTCAGCAAACAGCACCTTTTTGAGGACTCAACACAAAACCCCCATATGGGAAGGACCCAGCAAATAGCTCCCTGTGAAGGACTCAGCACATAGCTGTATGTCACAAGTTCAGCTGTAATTAGAATTAAGGTGCTTTCTTCAGCATCACCATTCTTCAGAAACACTTCATAAACCCTACTAGTTGACCTTTAGACAACCTGTGTTTTATGGGGAAAGTTGACTGGGGGTCTTGAACTCAAAGCTTGGGGGCCCTGTCCCAGAGCTCTTTGGTTCAATGCTAGAGCTCTACCACTTGGAGGCACAGCTCCAATTTTGTTTTTTTGGGTTGTTCTTTGACAGGTCTTATGGTGATAAGTAAGGTCAAGTTGGGGTATCTGTGGGCAAAGGCTCTTAACTCAGCCTGGAGCTGACCTCTCCCTTCCTTGTGCCCCTGGAAAGCCGGACCTCCTGGAGCTCTCTTGGCCTAGGGTGGAACAGACCTGCTCTGGCATCAGCAATCAGGGTGAGCAAAAGTCAGCTTGGCTCTGGTCACTCCCCCAAATTGAACTCTAGAGGATGATGGCACAGGGCTGCATGTTCCGTTTGTGGCCACCAGGGGGCAGGAGTGGCCCACCATAGGGATAGTACTTGCCAGTTGTGTTTACTCTTGCTTCCCTAGGGCCCCCATCATGCTTCAAAGCCACCCTGGAAAGTCCTTTAGACTCTTACCTACAATTAACCATTCAAAAGCAAGTGGGGCTGTGGCTCAAGTGGCACAGCACTAGCTTTGAGCAAGAAAGCTCAGGGATAGAGCCTAGGCCCTGAGTACACACACACACACACACACACACACACACACACACACACACCACATGCATGCAAAATCAGAGATTTCTACATTGCAATCTTTGGGTATTCTCTGCTTTTCCCCCACTAAGCCTGTTGGCTGCTGGCCTAGGTGTTTGATGCATACAATAGCACCTGGCATCTTCAATTTTGGGGGAACAGAATGGCTCGAAGGTCAACCTTCCCCCATCCCAGCTCCTTGATTGGGTCATGGTCTATCCAGGCCCTTTGGGCTCCTTTACAGATTTGCCAAAATGCCTTCAAAAAGCATCACATACTGGGCACTGGTGGCTCATGCCTGTCATCCTAGCTACTCAGGAAGCTGAGATCTGGAGGATCACGGTGCCAGGCCAGTCTGGGCAGGACAGTGTATGAGACTCTTAGCCTCCATGAAACGTCAGAAAACAAAAGTGGCATTATGGCTCAAGTGGTAGAGCACCAGCCTTGAGAAAAAGAGGTCAGAGACAGCGCTCACGGCCAACAACAACACGGAGAGGCATTGCATGTTGTCTTTGGGATTGGCATGGGCCAAATATAATTGGAATTAATTATAATTGGAATTAATCAAGTCCTCTAAGACAAAGCAGTACCTCCTTTAGTCCTGTGCTCCTCCATCTCGTCTCACCCCCTGGACTTGTCCATGCTTTGGGTCAGCATGGATCTGGCTGGACGGGAGGGCTCCAAGGAAGATCCCAGAGCAATCACCCCCACTTCCTTCTGCCCTGCTCACCCTGCTGCTTTTGCTATTTGACATAGACCTTCTTCCTGGGATCCATCCATGAGGTCATCACCACCAACATAGTGGTGAGTCGTGAGTCTGGCTTAACTAGGGGCAGTCAGAAGTGGAAGTAGGTCTGGGACTAGGAGCTTCCACCTTGGGTGTGGGCTGAGGCCATGGCTGACCTTTATTTCTTCCTGAGCCTTGCAGTGGTGGGGAGAAAGTGTAGACTTCACATTGAGTCAGGTAAAATCAGAATCTGGAGGACTACTTGTGTGTGGGAGGATGTGGGTTTCAGGGGGCCACTGTTGTTGGTACTCTCTTGGGACTTCCCTCTCCCTCTCTCATCTCTCAATGGTAGAAGAGAAACGTCAACTAAGGGTGTGGGAAGAGGGGGTGGGGGAATATTTTGGGGGGAACCAGATTGTGCTTCATATTCATCCTAGCCCCTACTTCCTATTTATCTGAGGAATGGTCATATGGCTTTGGGAGGGGGGAGAATCATCCTAGCTGAGAATGTGGCTCAATGATAGAGTGGTCACCTAGAATGCCTGAAGCCCTTGGTTCTATTCCACACAGAAAAAGCTGGAAAGGGAGGTGGGGCTCAACTAGTGGAGTGCCAGTCTTGATCAAAAAGAGTTCAGGGACAGTAGCCAGGCCCTGAGTTCAAGCCCCAGGACTGGAAGAACAAATCTTTGTTGGAGGCTTGCTTTTTGCTTTGAAAACAATTTATTCTTTGTGATAAGCATAACATGGGCCTCTTTCCTGGCTACCAATGGGCCATTAGATATCCCTTGAGTTTGGGCCAACTCCCTGAAGCCTCTGTCCTCCCTGATCCCCAGTTTAACCTTCTCATCACCCAGCAGATGGAGGCCTGAGAGAAAGTCACCTGGCCACCTACTTCTGGTGGCTGCCAAGGCTTATGAGAGTCAGTATGTCACATAGAGAGTCATCATCGGCATCAGTTTACAGGAGAAAGTGGGGGAGCACTCCTCCCCTGAGCCTGGGAGCTGTGGGTGGATCTGGATGTGCGGCATCTGGTGCCGGACGTGCTCCTTGGAGGAGTCCACTATGGGGTCGGGAACACTGACCTCTCCTCTGGAAGTTTCCATGCTGTCTTCAAGTTGCAATTCTTCAAAACCTTTCTGCTCCTCCCTCATTTCACCCACCACAGGCCCTGAGGTGTGTGAAGCAGAGTTGGGGGGGGGGGGCTCAGCCTGGGCTGGCATCTGAAGACTGCTGTATGTGCCTTCCCCTGTGAGGAGCAACAGCAGCTCCTGCAGCATTTTCCTCCTTTCCATCTTCTCCTGGGACAGCCAGTGTATGCACTTGGCTTTCTCCCAACACAGCTCATTCAAGACCAACATCTGCTCTTTACACACAATGAAGGACTCCTCGATGGTTTGGATGTGTGCCAACAGCTGGCTGCATCAATGGTGGAGTTCACCTGTTGGACTCTGGAAGTCCACCTCATCAGGCAGGTCATGGACGAAGCAGATTTTCTTCTCAGATGCCCATGTGTCCTGTTTCCCATCCCCACGCATGCTGTGGTGGCAGCTCATGGGGCAGAGGGCCTGTGGCTCCAGCTCAGTCTGTCACTGAGCTGCCGGGTGGCCTGGGTGCCTGCAGCGGGCCCATGCTCCTGTGGCAGGATTTTCCCCCTGTGGATCTCAGACTCCGAGTGTGCTAACAGAGTCTAGTCCATCTCCCAGGCAGCATGGAATGTGTTCTTGTATCCTTTTGGTCAGAAAGAACCATGAAATAATGGTGTGGCCAGAATCCTGTGATGCAGGCAGAATGGGCAGAGTCAAGATGACAGTGGCTCCCCCAGCCCTTTCCCAGGAAACTCTGTCCAATTCAGTTGGGGACAAGAGGGTGATATGCTTTAGCTG